ATAAACCATGTTGGCGAGATGACGTAACAGCAAATCGGGTTCTATTTATAGAACCCCGTGACAAAGTAGCCCACCGAGTCGGAACATACCACTATTTCCGTTACGGAATATATCGGTTATGAACGATAACAACACCTTCGCATCAATGTTATTTCTCCATGTATACTGTGAATTGGATTCATCCTTTTTCGATTGCTGAAATATAATTCAGCCGTTACCAATATAACTCGAGAATTGAAAGCACAAAATGTCTAAAGATATTGCTCAACAAGTAAATATAAATTGCATGAAAACTTTCACGGGAACACAGCACACTGCAACATCAGCAACAGTCCTGAGATTACGAAAACAAGTGCAAGAATCCGTCTTGGTGGCGACAAGGCGCTAACTGTGATCCATTTCAAGCGTATCCAAGGAAACGATGCTGATGCGATCGATGCAGTAGTCGATCGACGCACGGTCGATGTAGTTCATCTTCTTTATGAGTGTGGATGATGCAGTCTGATCTTGGATAGGAGACACAGCCATCTGTGTTTCATCAAGGAAGGATCCGTCGTGGGACTGATCAACATCACCGGGCACCATCTGAGCAGCACAGGTATATCATGCCCCAGCTCGGCAGGAGTACGGCAGATCTACTCCGGCAGTCTCGGCTGCATCGGGAATGTAGGTGTCGTCTGGAGCATCAAGTTCATGTTCCTTCGCCTCCGGGTCAATGAGCTCCACCTCGTAGACTGCCGTAGCAGACGCCGTGAAGCGGTTGGATATCTTCAGGGTTGATGCATTTTGAGATAGACACTAAATATGTAAGAAGACAAAGCAAACAGCAAGTACATGAATATGGGCAGCAGCTAAATATGTAAGAAGACAAAACAAACAGCAAGTACATGAATATGGGCATGAATATTGTTTCTGGATTTGCATTGATAATTCATATAAATTTTGTCTTTTAGATGATGGATGGTAAGGTTGGCTGAGAAGGGTAAATTACGCAGCTACATTCCTAGCATCATTCCCTTTATTTATCCCGCAGTATAAGACAACAAAACCATACGGAAATCCAGAATACGGTGGCCAGTGTCAATAGTTATGTCCCAGCAACTAATAACAGTGCGACGTTAAAATTTATACATCAAGTCAAGCCTCTCGAGTCTCAACCTTTTAGTTCTCAAAAACCAGGAAGCCTCGCGTAAGATGAATACGAGAGAACTTGCTAAGCATTTCAAGAACAAGATTTGCTAGCTTGTTTCTTCAGTATTATAACTGCTGGACAGGCTTCATAATATGAAATGCACGATCATTTCAACCAGCAACCAAACTGCTTCCTAGAGTAAAAATGCATTTAGAACAAGTATAGCTCCAAACAAAAATAATTATAACTAGAAACGCTTTATGGATGAAGGTGAATTGAGTTGATAATATTTTAAGTATCCTAATTATATTTAAATCAGTTAATAAAATTCTGATTAAATTGAGACTCAATAATGAT